TTATCCCAATCAAACTTATAAGTCGCCAAAAAGCGGACTGCGGATAAAAATTTATCTAAACTAATAGGTATTATATTATCTACATTTTTGAGCCACATGCTTCTTAAATTTTAAATTTTACGAAAATAGATTCACTCTGTATACATAAGTTTCTATACTCAAAAGGTGAGGTATACCTGGTTTTTGTATTATAATCGAGACAAATAAAGAAAAAAATACTACAATAATACGTTGTTGAGAGGTTAATAAATTATCAATCGTCTGAACTTATTATAATATTATTTGATATATTTTGTAATCGATCAAATATACGAGGGTTCTGTCGATTTATAATGAATACAATTTAATGAATGAATTTACAATAGGTTTTATATCTTGTTTCCACAGTGCTCGCGTTGGAAAAAAAATAGTGTCAAACTATTGAACTTTAACTAAATAAACACTACTTAATGCTAAGTTTCTGTTTACATTTATATTTATTTTTAGGTTGCCCTAGAATGTGAGGTTTTTTAATTATTAACGATTGAAAATTACTATTCCACAAGAAATCTCGCTCCGATTATCAAATTTAAGCGTGTTGGTTACTGGTAGAAAATTTTATCAAATTGGTGATAAAAACTCGATAAAAACATCGGAAAAATTATAATATTTACACAATAATATATGGTTTCTGTTATATCCAATTTTGTTTTTTTGTTATTCAATAAAATATGATCGTTGAGGACGAAAATTTCACCTAATATTTATACATAATTTCTTCAAGACTGTATAATTTTCAAAACATTCTGGACATTTTCTAGTCATTCATAGCTATTTGAAATTTTCGATTATTTTCGATTTTTATGAGATAAAAATTGTTTGGCCCAGTGAAAATGCTTGAACATTTTATATAAATTATTTATAACTTATAATTATTAATTAATAAGTTAAGTGTATTTATATAAAATATTATTTTTCTTTATAAGCGTTTCAAGTTCAAATTTTAATGAAAATGCATTTTGAAAAAATTCAAAAATATGCACCGTTCCATATGTTCTATTTAAAATTAATAGTAGAGATACGCTGATATGTTTGTAACGTTAATAGGAGCACGAAGTCTCTCTGCGTCTACTGACCCCCATGCACTGTATTTGTAAATACAAACAAAGATCATTTTAATAAAATCTTATTTGTCTGGAATTATCATCGTTCATACTGCGTATGTTCATACGAGTTCGTCAACGTGAGAGATCATAGACCGCGTGCAGTTTCCACAGTATCCTATAGTGGCTTATGTAAATTGCCTACGAAACAGTAATTATATAATTAAAATTACACTGTAGGAAATAATGCAAAGAGATGTTTGTTAAAAAAGAAGATTCAATGTTATAAAATGCATTAAAGAAATTAAAAAAATTAAAAACACATACACGAAAAGGGACATTAATGTTTGTGCTTTTATTGTTAAAATAAGGTTTGATATTATATAAATAATAAATGGCGAAAGTTGCCTACAGGGATGGGCAGTATATCAGATACTCTTATCTTGTTTTTTTTCTCCACGTAAAAATGAACTATATATTTTGCGGAAAGTAAAATAATATTGAAAATATTTTCATTTTGTATCTTGTACCTGATGGTCTGTGGTATCCGGCAGTATAGCTATTGTCCTTAAAGGTTAAACAAAAAAAAAATTCTATTGTTGATTGTCTAGCATAATTTTGAAAATGTTGTATATATGTTATATTTATAGATAAAAATCGATTTATCTAGTAGCTTGTGTCCTACTGTCGACAGTAGTATCCACCTATAAAGAAAGCATTTTGAAAGTTTTTCGGTTTGTAGACATGCAAATCAACGTATACTTATTGACGTCAATTGACAATTTCATAATATATATATATATATATATATATAATAACATTACTACAACAAACAATACTGTATGAATGAACGGAAATTAACTTATATTATTTAATCCTACATTGTTAGCTACCACTGAATATTGTTGTTATTTATGAAAGTCAAGGACAAAAAGTGTATCGGATTTTATGACGTTTATTATTATATAAGTTATACATTATTTCATTATTGTGCAGAATATTACCAACTGTTCTTGACAGACAGTGGTAAAAAAAATAAAAATAAGTACAATCAATATAAAAACTACGAAAACGTAATAAAAATTTAACGAACAGTATTTGCAGGTCCATATAAAATAAAAACTTTTTTTTTAAATCGGAAAAAAACTATAACTTTTATCTTCTTCTATATAGAAAATATTATGCGGCATACATACCACTTTTTTTTTTCCAATATAAGTAGCTATAACTCACATAGGCCTCTATATTTTGAATTACATTAACATTTTCTTCCGTCAAATCTAAGAAGTCAGCATATAGGCGGTGGAGTTCCTTCGGGTGTCCATTTAGCATTTTCCTTATCTGTCACTTTTTCCCCTCATTCCGGTAATTTTGGCCTAAACAATGTACCCTTTCTCAATAGCGAACGCAGGGAAAAGTATTGCACGTGAGGATCACCGGAATATACAGAACCCTAGAATTTTGTATAGTATTATAGTATTATATTATAGCGTACACTGTTAATTGATAGCAATACTAATATAAAATTCACCCTTCACCCCGTCCCCTGAAATTTCGCCCTACGTCCTTTATGTTATCAATTAACGAATATTGTGCTAATGCTGAACACCATAAAAACATAACTAACTTTAATTTTATTATTATTTTTTTTTTACATTTTTACATCGTAATATAATCAAACTCAATTTCTCGATTTTAATGGTACTTAGATTTCCAATAATACTATTTTTAAATACAATATTTAATTCAATAATATTTCATTGAAGTGCATTTAAAAATTATCGAATGTCAAACTAAATGTTTATTTAAGCGGTAATATTAATCTGGTCAAAGTTTATTACTCTCATTAGTAAAAATAAAAAAAAAATAATAATCATAATGGAGAATATTCTTAGAAAAGTACTTACGCAATTTTTAAACGGGCACAAATATGATTAAAATGTATTTTGTTTTACTATAAAACAAAGATAATACGAGTTGCTGATACAGCTGACGGGTACACCCATCAGATGATTGGTCTTCCCTGTTAAGTAGGAAGTTAAGAGGGCAAGATTCATAACGATACTTACTTAATATCTATATGAAACGATTAAATATTTATTTATTTATTAATTAAAAATTATTCTAAATGGAATTCGTTTATACATTTTTCGGAATGCTGTAATTTTTATGATGTTGGTCACAATTTGGTCTTAAAATGCTTATAAAAAATTACTGCATACACTATAAACTTTATTATTATTTTTTTTATAATTAAGTTAAATTTATTTAGAACCACATATTAAATAGCCAAGTATTTGTATTCGGTCATACAATTGTATCCACATTAAACCATACAAAAAATCAAAAAAAAATCTAATATGTCAAATGCTTAAAATTAATTAAAAAATAACCAAAATGTTCTGACAATTTTAACACGTCTAGGAAAGGTTAATAAAAGGGTTTTTCAAAAATATCAGATTTCTCATAATAGGTATTTTTAATCAAATTACATAAAAAAAAAAAAAAAATATCAAAAATAAACAACAATTTAAGTCCTCAGCTATCCATTTTTTTTACGTATTTTTTATTTTGGTTTTTCATAATAATTATGAAAACTGTATTGAAACTAAAAAAAAATAATTTTTTACTCGCTAATTATTCAAAATTTAATTTCAGAATATATGATACTCTCAAAATTCGAAGTAAGATATCTGGTAGGACAAAAATAATGAAAACGTTTATATTGTAAATATTCGCCTTTTTTTCCATACATTTTTCTGTTTGTTTCTCAATTATCATAAAAACTACTTGTAAAATAAAAAATGACTTACCCAACGCTCTCATTTGATCGAAAATGCAATCAAAAAAAAGGTCTTTTGTACATATTTTGATTGGAGCAAAATTTCTGTTAGAAAAGTAGTTAGCAGACAAAAAAAAAAAATTGCACATAGTAACTTAAATTAATATATTCCTTACTTAACTCAGTATCTAGAAAAAACTAATATAATAATGGATAGAAGTACTTTAACATAAAAATGATAAATTAAGTTGTCAAATGGAATTCCAATTCATATTTTTTTTAAAATTGGAGATCATTTTGAAATTAACCCGTTTTATTGTTGGAAGCGTGAACGAATAATTTAATTTTAAGTTAATTTCTCAGTATATTTTACCTTTCATACAGTTATCAACCGATAAAACTATTTCACATCACTATTGAACTACGTTAAACGGCTTATATTAAAATAATTGTTGTTTTTTTTATTCACGTGAAAAAAATGTAGTATATAGGTGTTCGCGAAGGGTAAACTTTCAATCACAAGCGTGATTTCATTATTTATATTTTATTCCATAAATATTTCACTTTTCTCCAAAACCATTTTCGGTATAATAATAATATATTATTTACATGTAAAAAATTGTTTTTCTGCTTCTTATAGCAAATTACATTTTGTTTAATAGGTTTCTGTTGTATTCCACAAAGCACAGACAATGTGCACGTTTTTCTACGAGAATTACTACAGTTTATACGCTGAGATATATAAATAACGTATGTATGTATATTTATTATAAATATTCTAAGTCATGTGTTATAGGTACCGTTCTACCGATTGTTTTCATAGATACATGAACAAATATCTGATGTGTATTTTATTCTTTTGTCCTATACAAAATAAAATAATTAGATAAAATATTTTTCCCAGTACCTACCGTCGCATATATATATATATATCGTAGGCCACATGTAAATACGCATTGATTGAATACACATTTTTATTATGGTAACATAAATTATCCTTCGAATTTAAAACAAATAATAAATAAGCCATTTGAAATTTTCGAAACATACAGATAGTTGAAGATCCGTGAAGACGAAAACATTCTACTTTAAAGACAAAATATATTATTGTTGATTTAGTCATTTTGATTTTATATTTAATCGATGTGTTGAACCAAGAACTCAAACGCGGTGTCGGTTGGTTGAACGTTATCATAATCCTGAGCTTTTGCAAACGTAAGAACTAATACTTTTTGTTTCTTCAAATTTGTTTCATGGATACGTACAAAAGACTTGATAATAATTGCAACTCCTACCAAATGACGTGATTCTAAAGCAGCATGTTCCCTGCTACTTCTCTCGCCGTAATTATCATCACCAAATACTACCCACGATACACCTTTTGCTTTATAAACCCTGGTTGTACCTGGTACTGCGCCCCACTCACCGGTTACTTGATTCTTTACCTTATTAATTTCATTGTTGTCGGAGTTAGTTGCGGTCAAAAACATATTATTAGATAAAGTGTCTAAATGACCTCTATATTTCAACCATGGTCCAGCAGCAGAAATATGATCAGTAGTACATTTTACTTTAATTTTAATAAGGATTGCTAGATTTTCTAAATCTTTTCATCCCAAACTTTGAAAGTTTCCAACAACTGAGGACGTTTGGACCTTGGATTCACCGCGACATTCACAGATGATCCGTCCGTAGGTGGAGCTTGGTAAGTACCTTGACCAGGGTCAAATCCTTTAGCGGGTAGTTCAGCGCCAAAGGGATTGTTCAATTTAAATTCCTTACCATCAGATCCTTTTAATGGAATCAACTGTAGGATCAATGTTTAAGCAACCTTCAATGGCCAACGCGGTAATGAGTAGTGAGTAGTATGCATACACTATAGAACTAAATTTCTCTTTATATCCTACATTCTGTATAATCTACCTTCAACAGTGCACACCTATCAAAATAGGATTTATGTCCAGCTGTTTTTCTTTTCTTGTAGAACCAATCTGCATTGCATTATTGTACAAAATGCACGCCCGAACAATAAATGAATAGTCAGTTCGTATTTCAAATCCTCTAGGAGGTGACATATGAAAAACAAAAATAACATAACAACACTAGTTAACTTTTTAATGTTAACTTTAATAAATTGCAAACTTAAAACTACTGATTTTTTTTTGTTGGTAATTTAGAGCGATACTTTCGTTGTGTCTGGATTATTATATTCAATTCCGTGGTTCGTCGATTTTTACATTGCGAAATTTTATATTGTTTTTCACTAAACGATCGCATTCACTATTTAATACAACCTGTATTTATGTACCCATACAACGGGATTTCTCTTTACAGACATACATATGTCAACGGACCATGGCCGTTGGACATTTTAGAATCTGCCGACCGAAAGGAATAGATAAAATAAATAATAAAGGAATAGACAAACGCGGGTTCGATGGAAAACGGCCACGTAACAAAAATATCCTGCGAGACAGGTACCGACCAAAGTCGAAATCGTATTTTTGATTTTTGCTGTGATATAAATTTCAGTAAAAATTATAAGATAGTGGCAGTATTATAGATGTAGCAATCGAAACGTAATTGAACGATGTTTTTTCTCTCGTTGAAAATAACAAATTTATTTGTTAGTTGCAAAACAAAAAAAAAAAAACCTTTTTGACCTTCGTTTTCGATTAAAACGTTTTGCAGGCGCGGTAAATCGCTGGGCGGAAACGAACTACGTCACAGCGCGTAGTGGGTACCATAACGTATTTTTGACAACCGTTCGAAGACGTGTCAAAATCGTGTCCGTCCTTATAAAAAAAAAAAAAAACCTGTGCGTGTAAATATTTTATCGTCTGACATATTTACAATAATAACGATGACGATGATAAGAGGAGGCGAAAAATCGTTATAACAAATTATTATTAATAATGCGTAGTATAGGTATATATAGTGGGGCCAGGGTGGTAGGTGCTGTAAGTGCGGTTTCTCGCCCAGTTTTTTTTTTAATTATCCCGTCAATAACTTTGAACTTTATTACATTTTGTTTTTTTGTTATTATTTTTTAACGGTGATGGTCGTTTGAAGTGTATAATATACCTGGCACTATACAATATTATAATATATCTATCTAAAATTACGATGGCAACAGAATTTCGATCAGAAATCAAAATTAGGTACACGAAACGAATTAGTATACCTAATGTGAGGCGTCTATTTTTTATATAGTTGTTTTGTTTTTTGAAATGGCCTTACTATAATATGATTTGATGTAGAGAATATTATAACACATCATAATACTGTATTAAATAGATAAGTCCATTAATGAGGACATGTTTATTTTTTAGTAAACATTTTTTTCGTCACATAGAGCCAGTATACGCCTATTTTTTAATTTTATGGAAAATTTAAAAAGTACCTATTATTAATAACATCAACATATTCATGCCTATTAGGCGTTGATTGTATTAATTTCATATTAAAATATTACCTATGCTTTTTAGTTTAGTACATTGTATGATACTAGTCAGTGACGTATATAGAGGAAGGTTTTGGGGGCTCAAACCCTCCCCCATCCCTCGAAATGTGTGGTTTGTCAGGTACACTTGCGTATTTATAAATTTATTTAATCTATGTATTAGTTAAAACCCAAAAGCTTTTTTTTATAACCCCCCCCCCCCGAAATTAATTTCAAATACTTTTTAAATACCATTTTAAATATTTTTTGAAATAACTATTTGAAAATTATTTTAAATACTGTCTTGGGCGTTGTATTTGAATTTAAAATACTCCCATGTACTCTGTAAATAATTTTACCTTAATTCAAGAATTATTATAAGAAAATTCTGAGTTATTATTTGACAATCAAAGTAATAAAATAGTACATTATAATTTACACTCCGTGATTTGGATATTGTGTTGTCGTCCTCGTGATAAACCGAGAAGATCGAAATCAAACAAATGCAAATTGACAGTGAGGTGACAAATGAGACGAAAATTAAACTACTATTAGATGCTAACAACAAATATGTTCATATAAAATATTTTTGAAAAACCATGCTGCTTAATTGCTTAATATAAAATGTCGGGAATGATAATAGCGTGATAAATGTAAAATTCATATTTTATTTACATTTGTTTAAATCATTCAAAGTATTAAATTAATTATTTAAGAATTAGCACATTGTATTTAATTTCATTTTTCGGTTTATAATGATACCAAGTTGTATTAATAGGAACTTAAATGGTTGTATATTGAATTTTATATTAGACATTTACGTATCAACCGTCAACAAGCAGTTGAATCGATATCACTGCCTTCCGTGAGATTTCTGAAGCACAACAGTAGTGTTTTTTTAAAAAAAAAACAAAATATATTTGTTGCATAGGCCTGTCTACAGGACGAATATTATTGAAAATCAACAAGAAATCGTAAACTGAAATAATTACAATAATAATAATTATTGGTACGACCGTGACAAGCGTAATTGTACGTTGTTTTCAATCCGCTTTCCACAATCGAAAACAAACACGGTACTATGGATCATTGGACACGACGAAAACACAGCCATACCTATCTACTATTATAGTCGGAGGTACGCTCCTCGAAATGACATTACGCCGCCGAATGACTCGAAAATCAGAATCGTTACGCTGAATAGTTTGTCGGAAAACGCTCCCGTATTTTGTGCCTACCTACCTACTTGCCAATCTACTATGCGAACGCGATATCGTTATCGTTATTTATACTATAATTTATTAATAAAAACGCGCTGATATTAATCGTTTGTATTGTAGGAAATGGTGGTCGGATAAAATAACAATAAAACATTGCGTACACTAAAGGTTAGGTTCTGCTATTCTGAATGATGGAGCTCAATATATATACATACATACACATGTACAGGATGTTCCATTTAAGTGGATAAATTCATTATCTCGGAAAGTATTGACTTTTTTCGGAATTTTTTCTTATAGGATATTTAAGAAACAAGCAGCTCTACAAGTTTACATTTATGTTACTTTTGGGAATAAAACCACTATGCATACTTTTGATTTTCAAACGGAAACCGATATTCGAAATTCCGCAAATAGATGAAGTATTAATTAAAATAAATGATGATGTTGACGTTTTTGATTTCCGCCAATCCGTTGACAAGATATTCCACTTTTAAGTTTGGTTCGGGGGAGAGTAGTGGAGCTTCATTTGTGTGGCGGCACGACACGCGGCGTTTTAATAATGTTATTTTAAAATAAAAAGTAGGCAATGGTTTAGCACAAAAAATAAATGTGACAAAAAATAACATAAATATGAAATTGTAGAGCTGCTTGTTTCTTAAATGTTCTATAAAACAAATTTCGAAAAAGTTAATACCTTCCGAGACAATAATTGTACCCATTTAAATAGAACACCTTGTAATTTGTATACATACAAAAATAATACAATACGCTCAACTTTTTGTAATACTTAGTGTAGCTTGTGATGAACCTTGTGCCAAATTTTTGAACATTCTCGACGGGTATTCATATAAACCGTTTGACTGTAAAAGTTCCATTAAATTTCTCGGGTGTAACCCTACCTTCTCCAGACTTGTTTTTAAACAATTCAATACGTTTTTCTTTAGGAATATTTGAATATTAAACTATTTAGTTGTCTTCCATTTACATAAAAGATACGAATTATTTTTAATTAAAATCTGCCTCGTCCTTATTGAAATTCTAAATAGCAAATTAATTTATATTTTTTTATAAGAAAGAAAATTGCATGATTGTTAAGAATGGATGTTTAACTGACTGTCTTTTGTGCACAGATTAAATATACAGAGTATTGTTAAGACTTTAGCTGACTATTGCAGACTGCAGTAAAATAATAATAAAACATAATCGTTTATTATTAATAATTGTATAAGTGCGTAAATTTATACACAAATTACGGAAAACTAAAACGTCGCTGAAAATCACTTTTGTGAATATATTATATTTATACGTGTCGCAACGAAATCCATTGTTTTTTTTTTTTAGAAATATTACTTATTATATTGATCCATAACACCGAATTCCGACCGAATACCGCGCCGATTTTCACGGGCCACCGACTACGGGGCGCCCTAAAAACAAAATGTGCTCCTGGAGCCTTTGTTGTGCTATAACACCGACACTGCTTGGGCTATGAAATATATTTAGGTGATTCCTCGATTTATCATCGCGTGCACGAACATAAATGAAATCGACTACAAACAGTGGCACACCCATCAGCAGTACGGGCACTATTTCTTTTTTATAATTTTTTATTTTTAAGGTATTATTTATTTATACGAATTATTATGTGCCCCGCGATTGAGACGGACGCGAATGAGATACCGTTTCGCAATGTGACTTCGACTGAATTTTTTTTTTTTTATTTATCCTTGCAGCAGCGTGATGCACACAGATTCGTTGTTTAACAATAATAATAATAATAATAATAATAATATTATAATCTATTTGCCCTCGAGCCGGAGCGCACCGCGGCGGCCAACACCGTAGAAAATTACGCGCACAATAATTATCATATTATACAATAATTGTATGCGCAAAACGTAGGCACATATTGTACGGGTTTAGAGTTTAGAAAAAAAAAAAATGACTCATCGTATCCAGTCGTACAATTCCGTTTAAACAAAATACTTACTCGTAATATTATTACCACAATAATATACGGGAATATATTTCTTAGGATAAAATCTTCAGTAGAGAGGTATTTATATGCAAAACGTTTCAAATATAGGTAATATATTATATTTCACGAAAACATACGACACGACGTCGTCGTTCGTACATTATAACGTTTTCACACGAGTCATACGATACGGTTCATTTGAAATTATTCGTGTTTTTTTTTCAATTCTCACTATAAAGTGCGCGTTTTTTCAATTTTTTTTTTTTTTTTTTGAAGAATGACTATTTTGTTCAGATATTATTATTAATGTACTTTACGTATAATATTCTTAACTATATTTTTTTTATTTTTGCGGTACACGTGTTTAAACTGCGTATATTATACAATCAAACGCCTTGAACGCAAAAAAAAATTGTTCGTAAGCCGCTATTG